TCTGTCTTGTCTGTCTCATACATGTCATCTGTACAATCTGTCTCATATGTCCAATCTGTCTCATCTGTCCAATCTGTCGTATCAGTCCTGCTTGCCTCTATCTCATAATTCTTATCTATCTTTACTGCTCATTGCTCTGTCATGCCATTTGCCTCATCTGTCCTTCATATCTTATTTGTCCTATCTGTCAAAAAATGTTTATTCTGTCTCACCTGTCATATTTGTCCTAATATTTTTCATCTTTCTCATATGTGTTATCTGCTCCAACTGTGAATTGTCTTTCCTGTCTCATCAGTCTCATTTGTCCCATTGTTCTCATCTGTCCCATCTGTCTCATCTTTATTATTGGTCCCTTATGCCTATTTTGTCTTGCCTGTCTCATCTGTGTCATCTGTCTTAGATGTCTCATAAGTCTCATGTTCCCTATCCATCTTCTTTGTCTCAAAATTTTTTTCTGTCACAACAGTCTCACCTGTCTCATCTATCCTATCATTTTCATCTGTCCCAGTTGTCTCAACTGTCTAATCTGAGAAAGATGGGAGAAAGATGACACCTATCCTATTTGTCTCATCTGTCACAACTGTCTTATCTGTCCTTTCTTTGTTACTTATCCCAATTGTCTCAACTGTCTCACCGGTCCCATCATTCTCAACTATTTTATCTGTCTCTTTTGTCTCATCTGTCAAAACTATGTCTCAGTTCTCATGTGTTCGACCTGTTTGGGGAGTGGTGGAGCAGAGGTTAGAAGATGGGCCTGTGATCGGAAAGTCGCAGGTTCAACTCCCGGTACCATCAACATCAAAATGTGGGTGGAAAAGGTGAAACACCCACACCTGCCTCCACCCTCATTCACCCCTGAGCAAGGCCCTTAACCCCCACCATTTTCTCCCTAAACAGGTCTCTCTTGAAAACGAGTTATCGTGACTCAATGAGACTACCTGGATAAATAAAGAGTAAATGAACAAACAAAAAGAAAAAAAAGTTTCTTCTGTCCCTGTCAAAGTCCATTGGCCTGTCTTCATTGCTCTGTTGAAGTGGACACCTCAGTGGCATTCATGTAGAGCTGAAGTATTCTTTCTGCGGTTTTCAACTCTCAATGTCCTCATACCGTTCTATTTTCACTTTTTATCACCCTGTAACATGAAACATGCTCCGACCAAGTCCGAGGCCATCCAGAAGTTCATGTGTGTGCAGGCGCAGATCAAGCAAGCCCAGTTCATGTGGTCGTGCATGCGTCCCCCACCCATTACACATGCAGTCCTGCAACACCCGTCTCATCAAACAGTTGGACATGGGCCAAGTTCATCTGTTAATGGAAAGCGAGCACGAGGACAGAGCCTCCCCTTCCTCCTCTGCCCCCTCAGTCGTCTATCTAGCCCTTTGCCCCACCCCCCTCCCCAGCACCCTTCCCTGTCACTTGTCCTTATTCTTTTCAACACCTCCCCAGCTGCTGCAGTTTTGGGCGTGCGTTTGTGCAGCGCAGATAAACTGTGTGCGAGGGAGAGAGCTCCGCAGCTGGAGCTGCAGTCCAGAGTGGAAACGCTTCAAACTGCAGCACAGTGGGAGGAAACAAAAACAATTCGATTACTTTACTCTTAATAATATACTTTATTATGGGAGGGCAGAACGATTTGCACAGGCAGGAGGAACATTTTTAAAAACGCACATTGTTGTTGA